TTCTAAGACTTGTAATGTATATTTATCTACATGTAAGATCCATATATATATAATGTTTGACTTTTAATGTATATATATGTATATCTATATATAACATGCACATATCTGTATATGTGCATATCGACAAGTGTCCCGTTCTTGCCTATTCTTTGCCATCAGGCACGACCAGAGGGATCAGCTCCTCTTCCCTTAGTACGCCCTCCTTCTCTTCTCGTCGTTTTTTCAACTCATGTCTGTACTTCGACGCGTACACATAGCCGTTGTTCACAATCACGCACCCAAGTGACACTATTACCACAGGTGTGATGATAAGCCTTAAGGCTGGGTACCAATTGGGCGACAGACCCAGGCGGCAACTCTGCAGATCTCCGGCAAAGACGATTAAAAAGGCCGATATTTGCACTGCCAAGGCCCCGGACGTAGGCAGTCCCAGAGACATCCATGCGACTAGTGGAGGGGCAACACCTAGCCCGTATCGAAGCCACGCGTGAGAGCCTGTGGGGGTTATGGTAGAGTTGATATGGGTGAACATGTACGTTTGTGGGTAAAGACAAAAGCCTAAACCCTAAACCCAACCCTAAACCCTAAACCGTGTTGGCCAGGGTTAAGGGCGTGTTTGTTAGGTACGAAGCGAGCAAAAATATCCCAGAACCCTAAAACCCTAGTCAGCAAGATATTTCGGCTACACGTGTGTACATATACTCGCACAGAAGAGCCGCATACAGACACCCGCAAACGGATTGAATACAAACACGGGATGTATTTGGTACAGTTGCAGTTAGTTCAACCACACCAAGAAACCGTTACAACACACATCAAACCGTTTCAAATGGTAGTTGCCGGATTAAACACTGCTCTTGTGGTTTGTTTAACGCGATCATGCACGCAATGGTACGAACGAACAAGGCAACAGACAGACAATGCGCTTACCTCCGAATTTGGCGATTTCTAGGCCCCAATGAACAGCCCCCATAAAACTGTCCAGAGAGAAAGAGAAGATGAGATGATATAAAATACATTAAAAATGTACATACACGTGACAAGACAACCCCCACCCGCCAAGTGAGAAAAAAAGCATGAGATGAGATTCAATACGTTTGAGATGATAAGGGGACGTATCAATATGTGCAGTGTGATGGTGCAAGAGAAATAAACAATATAATCATACACTGACACTACGATGACAGGACAAACAAAAAAGAATATACAAATGCTCACGTTGTGGTCAAAGAAGGGGTAGACATTGATCCACTTTCAGGCTAGGTGATATTATTTATTTATAACCCCATGCACTTGTATAAACGAAAAAAAATTGTTATCGTTCGGGTTCGTAAATGGATAGTGCTAGCAAAAGACATTGTACGACGCTTTATATATATATATATATATATATATATATAGTTGTATATATATATATATATAGTAGTAATATATAT